TCAATTCATTCTGATGTCTTCAATCATATCTTGCTCAATTTGAATCTGCTCGTATGTCTCTCTCTCTTGATGCTCTATGATCTTCGAGTGGAGTGATTCAGTGATTCAGAAATGATTGTGCTTGATCAATCTCATAGTTTGAATCTCGATGTGTCGTTTGAATCAAAAGAATCTTTGCATATGCATCTTGTCTTCTGTTTTCTTCAATTTTCCTTTGTTTTTTCTCTTTTTATTTTCTCTTTTCTTTTTTCTTTTTTCTCTTTTTGTTCTTGATTGAATCTTCGCACTTGGCATTTGGTTCACATTTCGGTATCTCATCTGAATCAATGTCTTCACTCATGTGAGCAGATTTTCTCCACCTTGCCCCCTAGTGTGGAGGATGATCCTTGGTTAGGGTTGAATCAGAAAAAAATACTATAGGCTCAAAAGGGGACACAAGTGATATATATTTTCTCCTGCTGTGAAGGGGTAAAGAAAGAAAGTCGTTCATCATTTCATACATAGAAACTTTCACAGAAGAGGTATCCCCAGGGGGATAGATTTTCAGGATTAATTTTATTCACATGAAAATAGTGTAATTAATGCATGATAGAATTATTTCGAGTGAATTCTTCTTTTTGCTTCTTGCCCCCAACATGTCTCAATGTTCAGACACCCTGCGATATGCCCCAAGTTGTGTCTTAGAAGAATGCTCATGTTCAAAAGAACAACTCAATGCCTTGGGTTTTAATGGTATAAAAAAAGTAAATTTTGAGTCTAAAGAGACAATGGTGTGACTTTATTGACGCAAAGAAAGGTTCAAAAGTTTCAAAGGGTGATAATGTCAAAATATGGTCTTTTGGTAATGACCATGAGTTATTTTGGGTAAAGAATCAAGGTATTTTATTTTGGGGTTTAAGACATGATAAGAAAGGTATAATCTTGTCATATGTCAAAAATCTATAATTCTTGAATAATTAAAGGAATATTTAATTCATTTAATATTCGAAGAACTAAAGATTAAAATTTTTTCAATTATTCCACCTTAGAAAGCAGCATAAATTCAGTCGTTTAAAAGATTAAGCAAACATGAAAGATAAAAAATGTGTTCAAACAAAACAATGCTCTCAGTGCAAATGGTAGATGCAATGCTCCCTTTCTTGATTGTCCATGCCCCTGAATTCCTCAGGTTTTGAATCTTGCGCTTCAGTGCCATATAGTTCTCAGAGGAATGTTTGGAGCATCCTATGTGGCAACTGTAAACAGCTTTAACATCGTAGCCCTTAGGATATGTGGACTCTTTTCTCAAATCATCCTGGCAGGCTTAGTCGTAAAACCAGCTGATCGGGCTCATTCGTTGTGATTTCAGTTTTTTTCTTTTGATGTTACAATCTTGCTTCCATGTGGTTAAAACCACTTCATCGAATCCTCCATGAAGAAATTTCATGTTTATGAAAATGCTTGAAAATGAAATGTAGATGCAAAATGTAAAATGCAAAAATGCATGAAATATTTGAGGCATTGATCCAAAAACATGTCTGTTATTATAAATAATCTTTATTGGGACAAAAGTGTTTTATCTTTTAAGAGATAATAAACATATTTAAAGGGACATCCAGACTAAATCCTCTAGACCCGAAACATGTTGACTAGTCATTTGCCTTCGTCTTTCACCAATTGAATAACCTGTGGAACCGCTCCGGCCTCTCTGGATGAACCTTGAAAATATTGAGTTATTTTTTGTACTGGTTCCCAAAAGTATCGAATGACTGCATCTCTGGCTTTCATCCTTTGCTGAATCGAAAACTCCATTGAAATCCTCCATCAAAGGGATTATCCGAAGTTCATTTGCTTGTTTCTTGAATTTGTCGACAGTGACTTGCCTTCTTGTTCTTGTGGTCTTTGAATGGACTCTCGAGGTTAGTAACATTTTTCTCGTCCCTGCAACCTTTGCCAACCCAAAGTTGATTTTTTGATGTGCTTGGTGTAAACTCGAATTGTGGGCACCACGTCTTCTGGATTGAATGTGACACATAGTCTCCTTGTAGATTGACGTCTGTATTTTCATCTCTTGTATCACAACCCCTTTGTTCATTAAAGCAAACTATTTATGTCTAACAAATATGTTTTTTTGGATTAACACCTCTTGCGAATGATGCAAATGATGAAAAATGAAAAAAAAAACAAAAAACAAAAATGAAGGGAAAAAGTTAGCGAGACAAGGATAATAAAAAATGATGAAAATGAAAAGTCCTACCCCACATGATATCTACCCAACATGCTTATTATTCCTATCCGGACATGATCTCTATCCCGTATGCTAATTTCAAACAAATTTTAATCGCATATTTGTTTAGTTCGCATGCTTTGAATAGAAAGTGAAGGATGAAACAAAGCAACCTAGAGTTTGGAATGAGGTTTTGAGGTGGGATCTTATTCCCTGTACTCTCTCGGTTTAGGTTCTAAAGAGGGTACCCGAGTTTTCCTTGCTGGTGCCCATTTGGGCTTGCCAGACCCTTAGTTCTAAGCCCATTACAAGCTTATGTGGACTAAGTTAAACTATAGAAGAAACATTCCCTTATGCCCATACGGAGAATAAATTCACACGAAGACATAAGGTATATGAATCCCAAAGGTTAATTGCTAGGCTCATATGGAGAATAAATTCCCACGAATGCGTCACTTTTACCCTCACTTAAACAGGGTTCAGAGCTCAGGTATAGAGCTTGAGATGAAAATTTTGAAAATCTGAAATCATTGAGAAAAATGTCAGTAAAACTATTTATTTGAAAAAATAATCAAAGATAAATAATAAGAATCGAATAATTAAATTAAAATAAAAACTTCCAATTTTCTCTTAAAAGAGACAAACGAAAATTGATTTGGCCTGACTCACTTACCTGTCCCCAGTGGAGTCGCCAAGCTGTCAGAACCGTCTTTCGGGTAGGCCCGAGAATTGGGCTTCGACTTGAATAAACGGGTTAGGAGTCGCCACCAATCATTTTAGAATGATATTTAGGTAGATCGGACACCATCTTACATGATCTTCACTTTACCAAAAATGTGTTGGGCTCGGGAGTCGGTTACGGTCAAGGAAGGATTAGCACCCTTGAACCGCCCTTTCGGTACCAATTAATTTATCGGTTGCCTTTTAATTGCGAAAATTAAAAATTTAAATTGGAATTTAAAAATCCTATTCAAGTTACTTACCTTTGATTGGTTGGAATTTCTCTAAAAAGGGTAAAAAATGTTAGATAACAAATAATAAATAAATATTAAATAAGTCAAAGAAAAAACATAAAAAATAAAAATAATAAAATAATAAATCGAAGGGAAAAGTAAAATAAATAAATAAACAAATCAAATCAAATCAATGGGAAAAAATACTAAAACTTAACTATTATGGTAATTATATGATGTATATGTATTAATAATAGTTTATAAAATAAATAAATAAACATTACATACTTTAACCGTTCTACACTAGCACAAATTTGGAACTTGGATGGTGGATGTATGATTGTGAAGTGGGGCAAGTGTCATGGTAGTTCGGTCCAAGGTGTAAATTGTGTGATTTGTGAGGCCATAATAATAAACAATGATAAGAGCATGTGATGGTGTGGGGGAAAGTGAGTGTAGTGGCAGAAATATGACCCACCACTCTTGAATATCGTGTTTTCATCCTTTTTTTTCTTTACCTTGGACCTCTCTGGAATAGCTGGCCTTTCTCATTTATTATCGGTCTACATTTCATCGTCGTTGTTGCATTTCCCTAAATCTGCTTGCTCTACGTTCAACATTGCCATCATCAGACTAACCTTCTGCGTTCTCCATCAGAATCAATATAAATAGATGACTCATATTCAGTGTTTTCTTCTCGGTTTTGTTTATCTTCGCTACCCCTCAATTCAACATTGCCAACATCATACTCGGTGGAATCAACTGCCACATGATCTTTCTTACCCTTTCGGACGGAAAAGAAAATTCGGCGACTTTAAAGTTTCTACAGTGGCTTTAAGGCTTCCCGACCGGCTTTGAACCCTCACTGTAAGTTTTCTCCTCTCGGTTAGTTCGAGAATCCCCTGTGTTTTTCGTTGAAATCTCTGTATTTTCCCCTCAGTATTTCACATGTAATCGTGTGTTGCTAGACGTGCCTCTATCCCCCTCAGTATTTCACATGTAATCGTGTGTTTCTAGACGTGCCTCTATCCCCCTCAACACTAATCTGAAGCCCGTTTTCCCTAAAAAAGCTCCAAACGACGCATATCTGAGAAAAATCATTCGGTTTTTTCACCTTTTTCATCGGCGACGCTTCGGGTTTTGGGTTCTCTTATGTTGTATATTTTGCTTGCTTGTGTTGTATTTCGTTTGGCTTTATTTGTGCTTGATTTGGGTTCGATGTTCACTGTTAATGTTGGCAGTCTGTTTGATGCTTGATGATGGTCTCGTGATGGTATTGTATTTGTGGTTTGTGTCACAGACCGCCAGCCCAAGACCGAGCCCAGTTCGTTCAAGGCTGCCAGAGACTACCTTTGCCACGTTTTGGGCCTTCTAGAAGTCCCAGCAGAGCTGGCCCATCCACCTTGGAGAGAGAAGAGGCATGATAATTATTTGAAATTATCTTAGAGATAATTCCCACTAATTATTATTTAATTTAGAGTTATAGATAGAGTAGGGCTCTTTTCTGACCGTTGATGTAATTTAATCATAACCGTTGATTGTAGGGGGCTCCAACTATAAAAGGAGGCTCACCCCCACCTCATTTACTCACTTCAGATTGAGGAATACAAGTTAGCATTCACTCTAAACTCTCTCTTCTCCATTTGAGCGCCCATCTCTCTATTTTTCCCATTTCCTTTATTTTTACAACGTTCTAAGCATTCTCGCTTAGTGAAGGTTTGGGTTACTTAGCCGAGTTTCGACCACGAAAACGACTAAGGCCGCACGAGCTTGCTAGCAGCAGTCTAGCCCCGTGACAAGTGATATCAGAGCTTATTTCTTTTTATTTTCGTTGGTTCGAGATGACACCACAACATGGTGAAGCGACGGGTTCTGATGGGAATGAAACCCGCAATGCTGGAAAGAAGAGAGCACCCTCGAAAGATGTTCTCACATCCATCCAGGAGAAGGTTACCAGGCTCGAGGGTTCCATGACGGAAGCCAAGGTAGTGCTGGATGTGCTAGAGTCCGTAGACCTTGAAAGGCTGGGATCGTTGGATCTCGATAAGCTGGAGTCCTTGGAGAGTATCAGGGAGGAGGTTCAGGATTCACTCAACGAGTTGGATGTGAAGGCAACTGATCGAGGTGATTCCTTAGAAGCCATGGTAGTGGCTTTAAGGAAGGAAGTTGAGGAACTCAAGAGTAAGGGTTCCGATTCTGAGGTGGTCGAGCTAAAGAGGGAGGTCGAGTTGCTCAAGACCGAGTTGTTGGTGTGCAAAGCTGCGTTCGGGAACAGCGTAGCCACGGTTGCACCCAAAGCCTTGGGTGACATCCCTAAGCCGGAGAAGTTCAAAGGAACCAGGTCCGCCCAGGATGTTGAGAATTTCCTTTGGGGGTTGGACCAGTACTTTGCAGCCACGGGCATCACAGAGGATGCCAAGAAAGTAAGCATCGCTAGTGTTTACTTGTCAGAGGTTGCCCTCATGTAGTGGCGACGCAGATGCAACGATGTGAAGCGTGGGAACGCTGCCATCGAGACCTGGGTAGAATTTCAAGTTGAGTTCAAGGAACAGTTCTACCCAGAGTATGCTGAGGATGAGGCGCGATCCAAGTTGAGGCATCTCAAGCAAGAAGGGTCACTGAGGGAGCATGTTCGAAAGTTTGTCGAACTAATGCTCCAAGTCCCAAATTTAAGTGAAGAGGATGGGTTCTTCACCTTCATGGATGGGTTGAAACCATGGGCGAAGAACGAGCTAAGGCGACGAGGAGTTAAGGAGCTCTCGGTTGCCTTGACGACGGCCGAGTCAATCATTGAGCTTGGCGTCAAGAAGGTGGACTCCAAACCAAAGCTGAAGTTCCGAGGTAGCAGTGGTGATAGGGACAAGGCATCCAAATCCGACAAAGATTCGAGTGGCAATGGCAAGCCATCGAATGGTAAGCACTCGGATAAGAAAGACAAGCAAATTATCCAGTGTTACAACTGTAAGGGCCAAGGGCATTTGGCGAGGGACTATCCGCAGAAGAATAAACTCTCGGCCATCAAGGAGAAAGATGGGGAGGAGAGTGAGACTCTAAAGCTTGGATCCATCCTTAGCACCATGGAGGTCAAGAAGGGTCGAAAGAAGAAAGGGTTGATGTTCGTTGACATCACCATTGTTGGCCAGAAATTGAGTGCACTAGTGGACACCGGTGCCTCCGAGTTGTTCATGTCAGAACCAGTTGCCAAGAGACTTGGTCTTTATGTCGAGAAGGCTTTTGGTTCTATCAAGACCGTCAACGCCAAAGAGGTTCCGATTGCGGGGGTCGCAAAGGGAATTGAGTTAACTGTTGGAGGTTGGTCCGGAACGGAAGCCATCAAGGTGATTCCTCTTGATGACTTCGACTTCGTGCTTGGGTTAAGTTTCTTGGACCGAATCAATGCTTTCCCAGTACCTTTTGCCGATTGTTTGTGCATCCTGGATCCAAAGCAACAGTGCATTGTTCCAGTGAGCCGAGGGCCCGGAATAGGGGCCAAAGTTCTATCCGCAATTCAATTCTCGAAGGCGGTGCGCAAGGAGGAACCGTCCTTCTTAGCTGTCTTGGTGTGTGAGGAGCCAACCACAACCAAGAAAGTTCCTGACGTGGTGAGCCACGTGTTGGCAGAATTCCAAGATGTGATGCCTGTCGAGTTGCCTAAGAAGTTGCCTCCAAAGAGGGAGGTGGATCACAAGATTGAGCTTGTGCCGAATGTGGAGCCACCTGCTCGAGCTCCTTACCGAATGGCTCCGCCCGAGTTGGAGGAGATGCGCAGACAGTTGAAGGATCTCCTCGATGCCGGGTACATCCGACCATCCAAGTCCCCCTATGGTGCCCCAATGCTATTTCAAAAGAAGCACGATGGTTCTTTGCGGATGTGCATCGATTACCGGGCTTTGAATAAGCTCACGGTGAAGAACAAGTACCTGATTCCTCTCATTGCGGACTTGTTCGATCAGCTTGGTGGTGCAAGGTGGTTCACCAAGTTGGATTTGCGATCGGGCTATTACCAAGTTAGGATAGCCGAGGGAGATGAACCGAAGACAGCCTGCGTGACTAGGTACGGTTCGTATGAATACCTTGTGATGCCCTTTGGCCTCACGAATGCTCCAGCCACTTTCTGCACCCTGATGAACAAGGTGTTGCAACCTTTTCTGGATCGATTCGTTGTTGTCTACCTCGACGACATCGTCATCTACAGCAAGACGTTGGAGGAGCATGTTGAACACTTGAAGCAAGTGTTTCTGGTGTTACGAGAGAATGAGCTCTTTGTCAAAGAGGAAAAGTGCTCATTCGCCAAAACGGAGGTTCCTTTCCTTGGCCACATTATTGGAGGTGGCAAGATCTGGATGGATAGGGACAAGGTTCGAGCCATTGATGAATGGCAAGTGCCAACCAAGGTGACGGAGCTGAGATCATTCATGGGGTTGGCCAACTATTACCGGAGGTTTGTCAAAGGTTACTCAAAAATCGCAGCCCCCTTAACCGAGTTATTGAAGAAAGAGAAGGCGTGGGATTGGGGCCCGAAGTGTCAAAGTGCCTTTGATGAAATCAAGCTTGCTATGATAAACGAGCCAGTTTTGGTGTTGCCAGATCACACCAAGCCCTTTGAAGTTTTCACCGATGCATCTGACGTTGCCATTGGTGGGGTCCTGATGCAAGAGGGACATCCGGTTGCTTATGAAAGCCGGAAGCTCAATGAGACCGAGACGAGATACACGGTCCATGAGAAAGAGATGACTGCAGTTGTGCACTGTTTACGCACATGGCGACATTACTTACTTGGGTCCAAGTTCGTGGTGTTTACAGACAATGTTGCCAACAGTTACTTCTTAACCCAGAAGAAGTTGTCACCGAAACAGGCTCGTTGGTAAGAGTTCCTTGCCGAGTTTGACTTGTCCTTGGAACACAAACCTGGGAAAGTGAATTCCGTGGCCGATGCCTTAAGCCGAAGGTGTGACATGGAGTTTGTGAGTTTACCGACGGGACAGATGCGGGAGCGCATCAAAGAGGGGTTGTCACATGATCCGATAGCCCATTCATTGATTGAGCTTACCAAGGGGGCAAGACTAGAAAGTTTTGGCTAGATGGAGGCTTGTTGTATGCTCGAGGACACCGCCTCTATGTGCCACAATTTGAAGGATTACGAAAGGAGCTCATGAGGGAATGCCATGATTCCAAGTGGGCGGGACATCCGGGGATCCACCGGACTTTGGCCTTGATAGCGGAGCATTATTATTGGCCGCACATGGGCAATGATGTCGAAGCCTATGTGAAGACCTGTCTTGTGTGCCAGCAAGACAAGATAGAGCAAAGGAGACCAGCTGGATTATTACAGCCTCTGCCTATCCCCGAGAAACCATGGGAAAGTCTTTCCATGGATTTCATTGTTGGTTTGCCTGTTTCCGATGGATTTTCTAGCATCATGGTCGTGGTGGATAGATTTTCCAAGTATGGGACCTTTATTCCAGCTTCCAAAGTTTTTCCAGCCGAGGAGGCCGCTCGTCTTTTTCTCAAGTACGTGGTGAAGTACTGGGGTGTTCCAAAGACGATTATCAGTGATCGGGACATAAGGTTTACTGGGAGGTTCTGGAAGGAGTTGTTCAAGTTGATGGGATCAAGCTTGAACTTCTCGACAAGTGTTCATCCACAGACGGATGGGCAAACCGAGAGAGTGAATGCACTCGTAGAGACCTACTTGAGGCACTATGTGAGTGCCACGCAATGTGACTGGCCAAAATTGTTGGATGTAGCCCAGTTTTCCTACAATTTGCAGAGGAGTGAAGCGACCAATCAGAGTCCATTTGAGATTGTTATCGGGCAGCAGCCGCTTACACCAAATGCGGTTGTGACCGGGTACCAAGGGCCAAATCCAACAGCATACCAATTTGCCAAGGAGTGGCAAGAACAACATGAACTAGCCCGAGCTTGTTTGCACAAGGTCGGGAAGCGAACCAAGAAGTGGGCAGATCGAAAGCGTCGGGATGTAAACTTTGAGATTGGTGACCTAGTCCTTACCAAATTAAGTGGTATCTTGCGCAACCCATATCACAAAGGGCTTGTGCGAAGATACGAGGGGCCATTCAAAGTTTTGAAGCGAGTAGGCACAATGGCCTACAAATTGGAGTTGCCTTCGACCATCAAAGCTCATCCGGTGTTCCATGTGAGTTTGTTAAAGCCATACCATCAGGATGAGGAGGAGTTAGATCGAGGCAAGTCACACCGAGCGCCAGTCGGGGTAAAGGTCTCATACGAGAGAGAAGTAGAAGCTATCCACGCAGAGAGAGCCGTTCATGGAGTGGGAAAACGACCAAGGCATGGATACCTTGTTCAGTGGAAGGGACTTCCAGAGAGTGAGGGAAGTTGGGAACCTTCCGAAGCCTTGTGGCAATTCCGAGATAAGATTGACCAGTTTCACTCTAGTCGCGCAACGAGGGCGTCGCTAGAACTAGTAGGGGAGAATGTCACAGACCGCCAGCCCAAGACCGAGCCCAGTTCGTTCAAGGCTGCCAGAGACTACCTTTTCCACGTTTTGGGCCTTCTAGAAGACCCAGCAGAGCTGGCCCATCCACCTTGAAGAGAGAAGAGGCATGATAATTATTTGAAATTATCTTAGAGATAATTCCCACTAATTATTATTTAATTTAGAGTTATAGATAGAGTAGGGCTCTTTTCTGACCGTTGATGTAATTTAATCTTAACCGTTGATTGTAGGGGGCTCCAACTATAAAAGGAGGCTCACCCCCACCTCATTTACTCACTTCAGATTGAGGAATACAAGTTAGCATTCACTCTAAACTCTCTCTTCTCCATTTGAGCGCCCATCTCTCTATTTTTCCCATTTCCTTTATTTTTGCAACGTTCTAAGCATTCTCGCTTAGTGAAGGTTTGGGTTACTTAGTCGAGTTTCGACCACGAAAACGACTAAGGCCGCACGAGCTTGCTAGCAGCAGTCTAGCCCCGTGACATTTGGCTCTGATATAGTGGTGTTTCTCGGTTCTGTTGACCATATTGGGTTTGATCGTTGATGGTTTCCCTTTGGTTTTGCATGTACTATGTGTCCCCTCTTCGATGTTGGCTCCATGGTATTTATATAGCCTCGTTGGGGGCTATTTCCGGCTATTTCTGGGGTGATCCCGGATATTCCGGGGTTATTTGTCGTGGACCGTTGTGACCCTCGTTCTACGCCGGCCGTTTCGCCGGTCTTTCCTCGTTTGACCGATCACGTGCGTGGAATCTGCGCTTGTCCCATGCAGCGCCATTGCTTGAGACATTAGGGTTTTAAAACCCTGGACTGGTTCAGGCCCACTTAGCCAGCATTAGACCTAAACAACTTTGGACCTGAAACGAAAAAAAGGAAAAAGAAATTAATAATAAATAAAAATAATAAATAAGATAAATAAATAATAAAATAAAATAAATAAATATATAAGTAAATGAAAAACATTTTTTTAAAACTATACAATATATGTTTTAAAAAAAATAATTTTCAAAATCATATATTATATATTTTTAAAAGAATAATTTTTAAAACTAGATAATATATATACTTTTAAAAACTAATTTTAAAAACTATATAATATATATATTTAAAAACTAATTTTAAAAACTATATAACATATATTTTTAAAAACTAATTTTCAAAACTAATTTTCAAAAGCTATATATTATATATTTTCAAAATATTTAAAAACTCATATATTATATAATTTTTAGAATGATTTCAAACTATAATATATATATATATATATGTAAAAAATGGACAAAAATTGGTGTCTACAGTGGGTGTTTTTGATTTTTTTTTAATTGTCAACTCTAACTTCTGTTGATGGGTTAACGGAAGTTAACAATCGATGGACTTAAACTGGACGGATTGATAATGTAAGGGACCAAGCACACTTAATTTAAAAACTGGTGATCAAATTCGGTCAGACTAAAAATAAAATGTGTGAAGAAAAATAAAATTAGAATTTCTTTAACTACATGCTTCATCAAAAACTCACAACTATCAATAATCTCATAGTTTCTATTCAATCTCATTGTCTCTATTCAAAGCTAGACACAATATTGATGTAAATGTGAAGATTGAGAGAACCACATATTATTCTTGAAATAGTCTAAATGTATTTAAAAATTCTTGCAAAAGGGAATCTAACGTTACAAGACAGGTCATCTTTCCTAATTGGAAGGTCTACAATAATAAATACAATACGAAGCGTCAAACGTCAAATTATAATAACAACATACAAAATCATGCCATAAAAGCATAAGAACATATGTGCCAAAAAAATACACTAAAGCAACTTTTCAAGAATAAACGAAAAGGAAGAAACTAAAACGGAAGAATATTTATATAGACTAAAATGAAAAGATAATTAAGTATAAAGAAACAAAAATTAAGAAAAAGATAAATGATAATCTAATACGATACTTTAAAAAAAAAACTAAAAAACAACTTAAAGAAACCTAATATAGCTAATTAACTATTTAACTCCTTCAAATAAAATATTTTGCAAACAATTCTGAAATTAAAATATAAAAGTGCATGGAATAAAATTATGGGTAAACTATGCATTTAGTATCTAAGTTATCAGTTTTAGTCCTTTTAGTATCTAAATTTTTAGTTTTTTCTTCAAAATTATACCTAATATTTAGTTTTTTATTTCATTTTAGTACTCCACCGTCAAAAAATTAATGAAAATGTTTGCACGTGACATTTTCATGGGTAAATTACATCATTCATCCATTAACTATCTTCTCACCCTAATTTATGTCATTAAAGTTTAAAAATTTTTAATTTAAATTTTCAACTTTCAAATTGCTCATGTTTTAATCACTCTAATTTAATTTATTAATAATATTTTGTGACATTATATTTTTATTATTTTATTAGTATATAATTAAAATAAAAAATTAAATTTGAAAGTTAGAATGATTAAATTAGGAGTAATTTGAAAGTTAAGTAATTAAATTTTAAAAAAATAAACTTCAACAACCAAATATAGGAGTGAAAAAATAGTTAAAGGTGAATGATATAATTTACCCATAAAAAGTGTCAAGTTGTAAAGTTCCATGAAGTTTTTAACAACGGGATGCTAAAATTAAATAAAACTAAACGTTAGGTATGATTTTGAAAATTTTAGAAGTTTAAGTACCAAAACGAACTAAAACTGACAATTTAAGTACTAAACGTGTAATTTACCCTAAAATTATTACCATTAATACTTCTATTTATGTTAGTTAAAATATTTAAGATATTGAAACTTTGGAGGGATCAGGCTTAAGGGAATTTTGTTATTCTTTAGTGATTCAGATTCAAGTAATGTAGTTTGTAAAGGCACATGAGTTTAGATTTAGATTTTATAAAAAGATATTTAATATATTTAATATTTATTAAAATAAATTTAAAATTTATATTAAAAAGTTATTTCATATTTTATCAAGCATTATTAGAAAGATTATCTACATAGACTATAATACGATAAAAGGAAATGAGGGACGGTTAGCACGATTGTCAAAGGTGATTGTAATACCCCCAACCCGGATCCGAGTCCGAGGTGTCACATTGACTTTTCAAAACTCTTTTTTTTACAAATCCACCAAAATCTTAAATTCATCATTTGAGAAAATGAGTAATTTTCATAAATAAATATAATCAAATTATTTTACAAACCAATCAGAGCATATTCAACTCAATCAATTAGTACATGCCAACTATATTCAAAATAACCAAATACATCAAAATCATCTCTTTTCTGATCTGAAACGTTGTAAGGAAGATATTGACTTGTCTTGTTTCTCTTAACTTCTCTTCTCACTTCTATAACCTACGTGTGAAACAATCACACGCTAAGCCTATGACTTAGTGAGGATT